ATGCGTACATCAGAGCAGTCACTGCTTTTGGTCAATGAACTAAAGACCACAGGTGGCCAGGCTCCACCAGTCAACATGGTGTGAGCTGGTGTGTTCCTTCCTCCTTTTGCTTCCTGCCAGGGCCACGACAGACTTAGATCAGTGCAGTGTGCTGTTACAAGGAGCACAAGGACAGCACCTCACACCTTGGGCCTGTGATGCATGAACCTGAGTTCTGTGTAGGTGCTGAAACTTCGGGAATTAGTTACCAGCTTGCAAAAATCATTCTGACCTGTATTTGGATTAATGTCTGTTTGTCTGTTTTTCACCTTTTATGGAATTCATTGAAGAGTTTCCTTCCCATCCTATGTTGCTTTTCTCTCTGCTGACATAGTGTATTTAACTAGCTGTGATATTTATGCTTTATATTATTTTTCTTAGAAACACCTAGGAAAGACTCACATCTTCCAAGAAATATGAGTTATTGCAGCAAAAAAGAATCTTAATGTTGGAGAATTCACAGGACATCTGTATTATGTCTAAGCATTGAAGGTCAGTTTAGTGGTTATTGTTACATGTCTAATTGACTAGACATTGCTATCCAAATGGAACGTCATCACAGGGTATGGCTGGGAGGATGTTTATGAATCAGAGTAAAAAGCTGTCCTTTCCCAGTGCTGCTGTGCATCAGCCAAGGACTTCAATAGAATCAAATACGGAGGAAGGAGAAATTTGATTCCTTTTTTCTTGCCTTAAAAATTGAGCTGCAACATCTCATCTCATCTTCTATATCCCTCAGACTGAAATTCACACTTGGAACTCTGGTCCTCAGGTCTTTAAACTAGAAGTGAAGCACAAAACTGAGTTTCTAGCAGACAGGCTGTGGGAATTTTTAGCCTCCACAATCATGTAGGCTAATTCCTCATAAACTCATATGTCTGTCTATCTACCTACTCATTATCTACATTTATCTATCTAGGTATCTATCTATGTACTTATGTATCTATCCTCTATCTATTCTATCTATCTATCTATCTATCTAATCTATCTATCATCTATCATCTATCTATATCTACCTATCTATCATCTATCTGTCATCTATCTATCTATCATCTATCTATCTATCTATCTATCTATCTATCTACCTATCTATCATCATCATCTATCTATCAATCCATAGGCTATCTATTGTCAACTATCTATCTTTATCTGTCACTTGTCCTATTTCTTTGGAGAACCTTGAGCAATGCAGCCAATAGAAGTCCTCAGTTTCTAAGGCTCATTCATAGTAAAGCTAAAACTAAACTCTAGAGCAAATTGAGAAATAGAAACTTAAGATTGGAGGCTATTAAGACAACCCTGAGGATGGGCATATGAGAACAAATGAAAGACAGAAACAGATACAGGGAGTCTCAGACAATGAGAGGGGCTGTGAAGTGAAAAGGAGATGGAGAGAGTGATCTTCAGTTTCCATAAGAAGTAAAAGTAATCTTTTCAAAATCAAGACACCTAGAGAAGTTGAAGACTTCCTGATATAAACTAAGATAGCTCATTCCATTGCCCTAGAGAGAAGAGGGAAAGGCAGGAAAGGAAAGAAGAAAGGTTATGCTTCAGAATAGGTATACAGTGTGATGATTATTATGTTTAAGAACCAGAGCTAAGGAGTTCATTACATACTACCTTGTGAATATTCTAAATAAGCACACAACACTTAAGACCTTTCCAGTAATAAAGGACAAAAGAAGGCTTTGTCCTCAGTGCACTAAGTTTGCACATTTTTTATTTGATCGCTTATGTGATTCAATGGCAAAAGAACTATTTATTCACCAACTTACAAATGATTTTTGTTGATAATATAGGTTTTTAGTTCCCCCATAGCTCAATTTTTTTTTAAAAAAATATCAATTCTTTATTATGGTAGGATCCTCTCATATGACCAAAAGCAATGAATATTCAAAACATTACTAAATTTTCATATTCCTTTACTTAAAAGGTGACATGATTCTTCTCCTCTCTCACTGTACTCACCATAGAAATTATACCACTGCGACTGGACCCAGGGAAACAAATGCTTTACAATACTGTGCTTTTCAACACACCAACAGAAAAATGATGTCACTCTTTATAATACCTCAGGTTTAAAATAATATTTCATCTTGAAATTTCAAAAAATTATCTATATAAGACAAGAAGCTGTTATTCTTTACATAAGAACACTATACTATAAACATAAATTGAACATAGCCACTTCTTGCTTATAGGGAGCCAACTTCTTATATTTTCATTAAACTCCAGTCTTAATTATCTCTGTGTTGATAAACAGACCTAAGTGAATCTTCAGAAATGAAGTTGATATGAAAATGTTGCTTGCATTATGCTTAGAGCTTATTTCAGCCACTCATTTTTTCCCTTCCTATGATATTTTCAATGCTTTCTTTTTCTTTCTGAAATTACCTCATCACTGTTTTCTTCAGGGTGGTAATTGGTTGTTTTATTGTTTGTTGAATAGGTCTTTCTCTAGTGCAAATATCCACTTTGTTCCTTTGATTTTTCTTTATAATTCGTAATAAACATTTCTTTTTCTTCCTAGGGGTAATTTAAATGAGTCAAGGGCTCATCTGCACTGCTATTATATTTCATTCTTTCATAGTAAATAATAAATCTAATCTCACCCTTCCTAGTTTTTCTTAGCACTAACAATAACACCAGTAACACCATTTTATATTTATGGGCTGTTAGGTCATTCCTCAATTGAATATTTGGCAAATACATTTTTTCCAGAAAAATATAAATATATTTTAATTACCTCTTATAATTAAATTAAAGATTTAATTTTATTTCCATTCACAAGACATGCTCAAATAAATTTTCTGGGACAATTATTTTGTATTTGCTGTTGCCCATTTCATAAACCACCGATTCTCTTTACCACTTACCCCTTTTTCAGGCATTTCCTTATTTTTACAGTTTTTGGAAGGAAAAAGGAATTACAATAAAAGGGGTTCTGCTTGGGGCTGGTTAGCCCACCAGGTGTAAGGAGAGGTGGGCATTTCAGGTTAGCACAGACATGAGGATTTCCTATGTGCAAAGTAATAGTTCTCTAACAAAAACTGTTAGAAAAGATGAAATAGTTACAATAGCAAAAATTAATACAGAAAACCATTATGACTATACATAAATATATTATTGTATTGTAAAACACATTCACTCATTTGTGAGTCCCTATTACTTGCTAGATGCTGAAAATATACATCAAATAAAGCATAATTTAGATGAAAATGGAGAACATGGAAATTAGAGTATTAAAATTATAACAGTATATACTAAGATGGGTGAACATTTAAGTTAGATTTGAAAAGCTTTCATTTTGTAAGGATAATTTCTGCAGTGATTATATCTTCATTTTGAATAAGAAACTGGTAGTTTTCCAATTTTTTCCATGCTCCATTGAATGGCCCCATATATATATATATATGGGCAGACCTAATTTGACTTAGTGAATTATCAAAAGAGCCCCCCAAAACCAAACAACAAAAGAGAGAAAGAAGGGGAAGGAGGAAGAGAAGGAGGAGGAAGGGGGAAGTTGGAGGGAGAAATGGGCATGAATATTATGTTTCATTATAGACATGTAAGAAACTCTCAGTAATAAAAAACTTATTAAAGCAAAAATGAAATAGCATATGATATTATTTGAGTTCATTCCAAACCAAACAAAAAAGGTAGCAATTGTGGTTAGCATATGAAGTTTTTAATAAGACCACAAATACTCCCAACCAAGATTGTGATAATTATCTCTAATATCCCTGATTCAAGAAAATATTTGCTCAATATTCAAGCAAAGGAACTAATGATCTGTTTTTTTTCAAGTCACGAATTATGAATACTCCACTCACAAATATCCAATAATTATGTTTCCCCCAAACTTGCTGATGTTGTTGGACATTCCCTATGAAACAAAAGAAGTAAATAATCATTCTGTATGTTATAACTCACAGTGAATTTCTATGGACTTTCTTCCTCTAAATTAGTCTGAGCAATGTTTACTGGACAAATTACTTACAAAATGTTGCTCTACATATAAATAATGAAGATTTGCCATGACTGAAGGTACTCATATAAAATGCACAACTTGGAACCCCACAACTCTAAAATATTACTTTCACACATTTTTTGAACAATGAT